GAAAGAATCCCCCGTGTAAGCATGTCTGTACGTCTTGAAAAAAGGGGTGGTCCGCCGATCCTGGCGTGTCACCAGAGCAATAACCAAAAATCCAGCTGGGGGATCTAACGTCAAGGCCTGGGGCTGCGGTAAAATAAACAACCAGCGTTCCATCCCCCGGAGGCGCATCACCCATCCTTTCCCTTTCCCGTATCCTCATTTCCTACTCACCCTCAGGCGCTGTGCGTGGGGGGAGGGGTCGACCGCCGGTGCTGGTAAGCTCTGGCCTGGCCCAAGGTTAGCGCATACCCCCAACGCCCAAAGGCAATGGCAAGGGCACATCACTAGGGCGGTCAAGTCTGGGGCCGAAGAGGAGGGATGACGAGCAGGAGCAGGAGCAGCTAGCAGCAGCAGCGGGGTGAATAGGGATCAGGAGGCCTTCAAGGGCATCTGGGCACACTACGCCAATCCCCCAAACGGTCACCCAGGCGACCTCCAGGCACCTTGCAGTTTTGCGTGGAGCGCCCTCGGAAGGATGCGGGAGGATGATGAAGAGGCAGGGATGAGGCATAGGGAGAGGAGGAAGATGAGGAGGAGGACTAGGAAGAGGAGGAGGATGGAGGAGGCGAAGGAGGAGGGAAGACAAACATATTCCTTACTCATTACTTACATGGCGTTGAAAATGCACAGGGGGATGGTTTGTGTTTTTGCTTACTGAAGCCTGAAACTCCTCGAAGGTGTTCGCGAACCTCCAGCTGGCAACTCCGGTCTCCTTCTGGTAGGAGTCCGCACACATGCGCACGGTGTGATAACGAAAAGCATGGTCGGTTTTGAATGCGTCGGACACAAAGATGTATCGTTTGAAATGAAGAGCAGGACCATATTTCAAATATGGCAATGACTTTCCATCTAAGGTACCCTCCTGAATCACATATCCACCTAATAAGCGCGACGCCCAAGCTGCATCAGTGTGTGCAGACGCAGATGCAGGATCCCGAACCAGAAATACTCGAGCATCATATGCATGTGGCGTCACCACCAGAGCACCCCGTGCTGTGACACATGGGTCAACATGACACCCGACGAATACCTTCATGCCGCGAATACGGTTCTTCAGATCCAGTGGTCCAGCACCTGTTGTTTTAATGATGGTTTCTTTTTCTTTCTGCACTCTTTTGCACAATTCTAATTTCATCTTAGCTTGCATCGCCAAGCCCTTCCTTCTGTACAGCCCATGGGGATCCTCTCTAGCTGTGAGCAGGCCATCTGCAGCAGCTGTCGCCCGTTTATCCATCAGCTTCTTCTTCAAAAACTCAGCCTCTTTGGAATGGGAATCCGTCCAGACCATGGGCAAGTGCTCAATTTTGTCCATGATGTGTTTGATTGCGGGAGTTGACGAGCTTGGCAGTGCAGAGCGGCGCGACCTGAGAAAGGCAGCTTCGGACGCAAGTATGTCCACTGAAACCTTGCCGTGGCGGCCGATCAGACAACTGGTTTTCCTATCGTCACCGCTGGCTCTGGGCGTTCCGAACGATTCTGCCCATATCTCTCGGCATATCTGGAGCAGCTTCTCCTCGTCGTCACGCCTGGGGGACAGGCGGAACAAACGGGCGAGGTGACGCGAGCTCTCGACCACCCTGCTTTTCCAGAAAAAGGAGGAGGAGGAAGAGGAGGAGGAGGAGGAAGAGGAAGAGGAGGAGGAGGAGGACCAGGAGCAGGATGAACGGCTTTTGAGTCAAAAGTGGGCCCCCCCGGGTTCCGTCGGCTCCGTGGACATGTTGCAGATGAGAGATGCGACGACGAGGGGGGGAGAGGAGGGGAGGATGCAATGAGGAGGATGCTGGAGGATGAAGATGGGGGAGAGGACGGAGGATGAGGAGACGGAGACGGATAATGAGGAGGAGGAGGAGGAGGAGGAGGAGAAGGAGGAGGAGGATAATGGGGGAGAACGAGGAGGGAGTACAGAGAGGGAGGAAGCGCGAGAAGGAGCAATGATAAAAACATCTGGGGGGGGGGGGGGTAAATCCCCTCACGAGGGATTTTTGCAGAAGTGTTGGAAAACGTCAGGGTGGACAACAGCTCGATCGGTTGTTAGATCATGTGGGAGGGCTTAGGCCTAGCAGGTGTAGCAGACTGCAGCGGCACCTCCTCCTCTTCACCCTCCCCCCATTCACTTCCACCTCCGCCTCCTAAGCACACCCTCTGGTCCTATCCCACATCCCCACCCCCTTGCCTCCCGCTCCCTCCCAGTTCAACCTGAGCATGCCTCCAGTCCACTTTGACCTTCCAGTAGGCCCATTCCATGAGCTCACCCGGGGACTGACGATCGCCAACAGCCAGCATAGATTTTGTGAAGGTTTGCTCGCAGCCAGAGGTGGTGCCGCAGAATGATAGGGCCCTGATCGGAAGCGCAACACAACAACCTTGATCTCAACGCCCCCCTAACACTAAATTGTATTGAAGGGTGGTGGGAAATCACGACATCTCATTGGGGTATGTTCGTCGGGATGTTGACCCCGCTTTTCTCTTAGTCTCGACGTCCTCCTCATCCTCCTTCCCCTCCTCATCCTCCTTCATATCATCATTATCATTATTGTCCTGCCTTCCCCTCATCTTCTTACCTCGTCCTCCTCCGCCTCGGTCCCGTCTCATGTTTTTCCTATGCTTTCGCAGTGCCGCGTCCGGCCATGGCGACGAGGTTGCCTGGGCGAAAATTGAAAACGGTGGGAGTTCATTTAAATCCCGATGATCCTTGCCAGGACAGGTCCAACGTTTCCCGCCGGGTACTGAATGGACCTGCTGCTTGCAACACTCCGCAAAGTCGTTGCCCAAGCGTCCAACATGTCACACTTGACTCGCTGCTGGTGGGAGTTAACCAGAGGCTCCAATTGCAAAAGTTCGGTGGCTACTGCATCTGGCGATACGCCAGCAAACGTAGCGAGACGTTTGCAGTGTTGGCCCATATGCAGATTGTTCATTTCCGAGGCCTTGCCGTTGAACACTTTGAATGCTGCCCAGTAGTTAAAAGATGGAAATTCTGCTCGGACGGTTTGAACAGCTAGACGGAGCCATGCACGAACATGCTGAAAACATTTATCCAAATCACGCCGTGTTGGTGAAGCAAGACTGTATGTTTGGCCACCCATCACCCGCACCAAGGGTTCTCGCAAAAACTCAAGCATCAGTTTTGCATATCCGTTCAAAACCAAGCACTGTTCATTTATCCCAAATAGCTGCTCAACTCTAGACAAGAACGTCGCCAGGATCTCATGCATTCGAGTGATGTCGTAATGCTCGTCATCAAAATATCGAAGTGGAAGTGATGCTTCGTCTGCTGCATCGGCCATCATGGCCCCCATCATGACATTGCTGGGCGATGCGGCGATCCATTCCAACCATTCCTTCGCAGGCTTATTGATGTCGCCTGGCTGTAGCGCTCGCCCAAGAGTGATGTCGAAAACGGCCAAGAACATGTAACAGGTTCGAGAGAGAGGCTTCGCAAATGATTCGAAACGATGTTTAGCTGCTCTCAAATTTGAAATTGGTCGCTTGAGTCCTGGGTGCAACTTCTTCACAGCCGCCTTAAATTGAACTTGAAGGTCTGGGCTCTGCTGAATGATGCGTGCAGGTGAGTTCCTGCCACGCGCGAGCTTGAGAACACACTCTTTCAGGTATGGGTCCACTGCCCATGGCCTGCTCAGAATTCTACGCGATGCATGCGTGGCGTCACGAACTGCCGCAGTGCAGTTTGGAGTCACCGGGGCCAGGGAGGCCAGCAGAGGTTGCCGCTGGATCTCTGTGGCGGTGACTTCATTGCTAGCCGAGTCCACCACGCAGTGATGCGTCTTGTACTTGACCATGCGCCGACATTCTGGAAGCATCATCTCTCGCTTAAGGCCGCGGTTCTGCGTGGAAAATCGATTCACCACCAATGCTGTGCTTTTGGCTATCTCATGAGCTTTGGAACCACCACCACGGCAAATACCCAGAATTCCATTGCGACAACGGTAGTCTTTGTCTACTGCTGCGAACCTCACCAATAACACAGTTTTGCGTTCGTCTCGCATCATGGACATTGATACCAGACGTTTCATGAATTGTTGATCCATCTTTTGGGCTGCATTCGCAGCAACCAGTAGCATCTGTGAACACTTCTTGCCTTTCGCAACTGAAGAGACTCCGCTCGCCATAGCCCCCCCCCGACACGAACAACATGGTCCACAACCTTTTTGAAGTCAGCTTTCGAAGGTGCACGTGGGTGCAGTCCCTGAGAAGAACCTATGAACGCCGCCACAGCGGCCACATGAAAGTTGCTGGCAGCATGACGTTGCAATCTGTATTTCGTGACATTGCTGCTTTGCCAAGTTCCACGGGCATAGACCTGGCACTTCTCAGGTATTCCATTGGATCCATTCTTACTACTACTGCTCTCTGTCACTGTGCAAGACTTGTCGGCAAAACGGCAGGCCTTGCAATACACGCCACTCCTACATACGGCCATCCATTTGGCTCCTCCAGGCATTTGACACCACCCCGATGCCCGCCAATTCTTGATATTCCTGCGCACGCGACATATAACACATTTGAAGCTTATGCAGCCTTTGCAGTCCATGCCAGCAAACTCTTGAGCCAGAACGGCCACGGCGTGTCAGCGCGAGAACCCAAAGGGAAAGTGAAGCCGAGGTTGGGAGGGCGTGGAGACAACGCGCGACCGTTCTTAATCTCAACATGCACAGGGGTAGTCGACATCAATGCGAGTTTTTCAAAACGTGGCGAGACAAACATGGAAACGTGGCCGCGCCTAGTGAAGGCCCGGCCAATTATATCGTGCAAGGCTATGTATTGGCATGTGTTGTTTGTGTTTGGCGCCTGTCCCATCCTCCCTTCCTTCCCGTGTCCCCCCCCTTGCCTCCCTCTTCCTCCCTCCCTCTTCCTCTTCCTGCTCCCCTCCTTCCTTCTTCCTGTCTTCCTCCCTCCTATCATCGAGAAGGGGGGCACTAGGAACATAGCCTCTCTTGCTTAGCCATTTTTGGCTACTGTCCTCAGGGTGCCGAACTTATCCCTGCCAACTAAGGGTTTCGCTAAGGCAAGGCAAGATGATGCGCCTGCGCACGTCTCACAGCGTCGGCGCGCTGCTCCTGCTGCTGGCAGCGCGCGGCGCCCCGAGTGCCGGGTCGCCGGCGAGCGGGACGCTGGCCCGCCCGAGGCTGGAGGCCTCGGCGAGCGGTCGCCCTCGCGAGCCGCAGGCCGAGTTCGGGAGGCGCCAGGCTACCAGCGGCGCGCAGTTGTTGCTCAAGCTCTTGGCGAGTGATGGGGCTAATTGCGACAAGTTCGGACTCTCGGTGGCCGTGAGCTCCGACGGGGCCCGCGTGGTGGTGGCGGCCAGCGGAGACGACGACCAGTGGGGCAACTCTGGCTCCGTGCAGGTGTTCGACGGTACCACCGGCGAGAGGCTGCTCAAGCTCTTGGCGAGTGATGCGGCCTTGAATGACTATTTCGGACGAGCGGTGGCCGTGAGCTCCGACGGGGCCCGCGTGGCGGTGGGGGCCTCCTATGACGACGACCAGGGCAGCAACTCTGGCTCCGTGCACGTGTTCGACGGTACCACCGGCGCGAGGCTGCTCAAGCTTGTGGCGAGTGATGGGGCCGAGGAAGACCTTTTCGGACTCTCGGTGGCCGTGAGCTCCGACGGGGCCCGCGTGGTGGTGGGGGCCTACTATGACGACGACCAGGGCAGCAAATCTGGCTCCGTGCACGTGTTCGACGGTACCACCGGCGCGAGGCTGCTCAAGCTTGTGGCGAGTGATGGGGCCGAGGACAGACCTTTTCGGATTCTCGGTGGCCGTGAGCTCCGACGGGGCCCGCGTGGTGGTGGGGGCCTACTATGACGACGACCAGGGCAGCAACTCTGGCTCCGTGCACGTGTTCGACGGTACCACCGGCGCGAGGCTGCTCAAGCTTGTGGCGAGTGATGGGGCCGAGGGAGACCGTTTCGGACTCTCGGTGGCCGTGAGCTCCGACGGGGCCCGCGTGGTGGTGGGGGCCTACTATGACGAGGGCAGCGTGCACGAGTTCGACGGTAACACCGGCGAGAGGCTGCTCAAGCTTGCGAGTGATGGGTATAGTTACGACACTTTCGGACGATCGGTGGCCGTGAGCTCCGACGGGGCCCGCGTGGTGGTGGGGGCCTCCGAGGACGACGACCAGGGCACCCGGTCTGGCTCCGTGTACGTGTTCGACGGTACCACCGGCGAGAGGCTACTCAAGCTTGTGGCGAGTGATGGGGCCGAGGGAGACCTTTTCGGACGATCGGTGGCCGCGAGCTCCGACGGGGCCCGCGTGGTGGTGGGGGCCTCCGAGGCCGACAACGACGACGGCAGCGAATCTGGCTCCGCGTACGTGTTCGACGGCACCATCGCCACCACCAGGACGGCCACGAGTTCCGCGACGTCAAGCACTACTACTGAGACGACCACCGCGACAACAACTGAGACGACCACCGCGACAACAACTGAGACGACCACCATCAAGACAACCACCGAGACGACCACCGCGACAACAACCTGAGACGACCACCATCAAGACAACCACCGAGACGACCACCGCGACGACCACCAAGACGGCCACGACGACCATTGATACGGGCACGAGTTCGGCCACATCAAACACCACAGCCACCACCGAGCCAGGGGAAGTAATTCAAATTGCAGTCTTGATCTTGGCTGGTGCCTGGATCTTGTTCTTGGGCTGCAGTGTCGCGCTGGGCTGCCTGGTGAGGCGCGGGCTTGTCAGGGGCCCAACACCCTAGCGCGGCATTCACAAAGCCAGGCACCCCTCTGATGAATCAATCGGGGGCGGCGGAAAACGCCTATGTGGCCGAGAGTTGGGCCAGAGCTCGGCCAAGCTATTGGGCCAGAGCGCGGCCTTCCGCATGAAGCCCTGGTCAGCTCCCCGCCAGGCGTTTTTCCGCAATCGGGGAAGCATGTGAGACCTTCTGAGAGTTATCGGTGAAACTCTCACCAGTTTTGAAGCCCTGGTCAGCTCCGCGCCAGGCGTTTTTCCGCAATCGGGGAAGCATTCGAGACCTTCAGAGACTGGACTGGACTGGAAAAGGCCGCGCGTAGACGGCGCATCGGCAAAAGATTCGGCAATCCAGAATATACAGGGGGTTCCCTAATTACGGGCCCCCCTCGGGATGCCCAGGGATCACATCTTGGACCCCTGCGGGGGCGCTGTTGGAGCGCTCTTGGGCGCTATTAGGGTCGTTTTGGGAGCCATCTCGGGTCTCTATTTGGGATTTGTTCAGGTTTTCTTGGAGCCATCTTGAGGTCTCGGAAAGCCATCGGAAGCGAAAAGACGAGAAAACAATACAAACATTGATATTTTCACTCGTACTCGAGGGATATTGGGCTCTTGGAGGGTCTCCTTGGCAGGCTCCGTGGCTACTTGGAGCTGTCCTGGGGCGGTCTTCGGGCCTGTTGGAGCATCTTGAGAACCATCTTGAGGCATGTTGGGCTATCTTGGAGTCCCTGTTGGCGCCATTTTGGGCCATCTTGGACGCTCTCACCGCCCGCGCCCCCCCCCCATCCCCCGCCCAGGTCCAGGGGCGAGGGGGAGGGGGGGGGTAACCCTCCCCGAAGGGGAAGACGGGGAAAGATGGAAGAGGAAACTCGCCAGACCACCTACGCCCAGGATGGCTGGTGGGGGGGAACCATCCGTATAGTTTGCTCAAGTGGCGACCATCCTTGGCCCGTAACTGCCCATCTGCCAAGGCGACCCATTATTGTATGTCCCGTCCGCTCGACCCGACCCGTCCCGCCTGTGAGGGTCCCCCCGCCCGACCCGACCCGTCCGCCCGCCCGCCGGACCCGTCCCGCCCGTTAGGGTACTCGCGTGCCAACTCGATGATGCATCATATTTTAATGTCCCGCCCGCCCGACCCGACCCGACACGCCCTTCAGGGTCCGCCCGCCCGACCCGACCCGTCGCGCCCGTTAGGGTCCGCCCGAAAAGCCCTCACCGTCGTCCTCGTGGTTGGTGAGGCGTCCTGGCTGTCTCTTCTGCGTATATTTCTTCTCGCCCTGGCGCGAGCCCTCCCCCCGCTCCCTACGTTGCCCCCGACGTCGCCCTCCTGTTTTTTGTTCGCGCCCCGCCACCTCCTCGCCTTTCCATTGCATGAGCGCGCATGTCCAAAAAATCTACAAAAACCCAAGGTTTCGCAACACGGATTTTCAACAAAAGCGTGCGCGCGCGCTCTTGTGTCGTCGTCGTCGTCGTCGCCGTCCTCCCTCCTCCCGCGTCGTCGTCGTTGTCGTCGTCGCCTGCGTCGTCCTCTCTCTTTCCTCGTGTTCGTCGTCATCGTCCTCTTTGGCGTCGTGGTCGTTTCCGTCGTCGTTGTCGCCGTGGTCGTCCTTCCCGACCCTTCCCGCTCGTTAGGGTACTCGCGTGCCAACTCGATGGTGCATCATTCTTTAATGTCCCGCACGCCCGACCCGACCCGTCCCGCCCGTTAGGGTCCGCCCGACCCGACCCGACCCGACCCGTCCCGCTCGTTAGGGCACTCGCGTGCCAACTCGATGGTGCATCATTCTTTAATGTCCCGCACGCCCGACCCGACCCGTAAGGCGAATCTGGAGTCAGGGTTCCCATATTCAGATATCGACTGACCGATCACCATCCCTCGAAGAGGAGACAACGCCACAAAGAGAAGCTTTCGGCGCTCCTCTCGGATTGCTTTGATCTGCGCAGGGCCCCCCGGCGGCGCCTCTGGCGCCGCCCCTGGCGCGCTCCGCGCGCCAGGGAGGGGGGGTCCAGCGCAGATCCAAGAAATCCGCGCGGAACCCCGCAGTTGCGGATAAGAGTGAGGGGGCGGCGAGAACGTCGTCAGTCTGCGAGAATCTGAAGAAGCCCGCCGCAGGCGTCAAACTTTTACAAATTATGCAGTAAGCCCGCCGCAGGCGCCGATTGTTTCGTTGAAGCAATTTGGGTGGATCGCGGGGTGGGTCGCGGGTGGGTCGCGGGTGGGTCGCGGGTGGGTCACGGGCCGGGTCGCGGATGGGCCGCAAGTGGGTCGCGTATGGGTCGCGGGTGGGTCGCGGGTGGGTCGCTTGGTGGGTCGCGGGGTGGGTCGCAAGGGGGACGACGCACTACACAGCGATTCTCGCGCGCCAGACGCCAGACATGGGACACCGGACACCGGACACCGCGCAATGGACCAAACACCGGACACCGAGCACCGGACACCCGACACCGCGGACACCGGGCATACGACACCGGACACCGGACACCAGACACCAGACACAGGCCGCCGGACACCGGACACCGGACACCAGACGCTGGACACCGACACCCGACACCCGACACCCGACACCCGACACCCGACACCCGACACCCGACACCCGACACCCAACACCCAACACCTGCGCCGGACATCGGACAGCAGACTTTGGACACCGGCCACGCCGGACATCGGTCGCCGGACACCAGTTTGGGAGGAATTCGTTGTTTCTTTTCCCTTCCCTCTCTGCTCATCCTTCTTCTTTCGCCCCCCCGTCTGGCTGACCGATACTGTTCCGTTTGCGTTTTCCTTGGTTTCTGCGTGCTGTTTCGCGCGGGGCCGATCTATTTCTAAGAGGAGTTTTTTGTTTTTGTTTTGTTTCTCTCTCTCTCTCTCTTTCTTGCTCTCTCTCTCGCTCTCGCGGCGCGCGCGGCGGGCGCGGGCGCTCGGCCCGCGCCGTGCGAGCCCCCGCTCGTCGCCTCAGGCGGGTGCCCAGCGAGCGCGGGCCCCGAGTGAGGGTGGGGCTCGAGCGCCCGCGACTCGCCGGGCGGCTGGGGCCCTCCTCCTCCTCCTCTCCCTCCTCCTCCTCCTCCTCCTCCTCCTCCTCCTCTCCCTCCTCCTCCTCCTCCTCCTCCTCCTCCTCCTCCTCCTCCTCCTCCCCCTCCCCCTCCTCCCCCTCCCCCTCCTCCTCCGCCTCCTCCTCCTCCTCTTGTGCTCGTGTGCCCGCCAGACGTTAGCGAGAGTCATGTGCTCGTGGCTTCCCAGGTCCCGATCTGCTTCCGGCGCCTTCCCTCTTCCAGAGTCGGCATGGTTCGGATGCGTTCGATGTCTGTTCATGGGAGCCTTGGGCGGCGACATTGAAGTCAGCTCTTCCTGCATGTGGACAGCGTGGGGACCGCATTTTGGCCCATCCTCCTGCTCCTCCTCTCCCCTCCTGTTCCCCCTCCCCCTCCTCGTTCTCCTAGCCCCCACGAATACAGTCCAAGTCTGATCCAAATCCGGTCCAACTTTGTTCCAAATCCGGTCCAAAGCAGGCCCAAATTGGACAGTGCCGGGGGCCACGCAGGCTCCCAGGGAACGAACACCAAACAGAAGAGGCGCCGAGGGCACCTAATTACGAGGAGGGGCGCAGGCTGAATTGTTTTTCTTCGCTCGTTCCTCGCTGTGGTCGCTCCTGCGTGCAATATGCCAAGGGTTAGATTGTTCCTGGCATGCAGGTTTTGTAATAGTTCGGAACCTTCGGTTTCCTTCCCCTTTCCCTCTTCTCCTCCTTCCTCCTGCGTCCATCCCGGCGAACGAACTCTTTTTTTCTGTTTGCGTTTTTGCTATCTGTTTGTTCATTGTATTTCGCGTGAGACTGGCTTGTTTCTGGGATGAGTTATGTTTCTTACATGATTTCTGTCTGTTCCCGCGCCCCTGACATTGAAGCTTCTCTCAAAGGCTTGCGGTTTCTCCCACATGGGGCGGTCCTTGGGTATGCTCGCCCCTTTCGCGATGTTTCTCCCATGTCTAGCGGACTTAGGAGGCCCCCTGTTTCGCCTACGTTCCTGGCATTGGGACTTCCCCAACACAGGCGTTGTCTTTCTCCGAAATGAAGCGGTTCCCGGATATGCTCGTTCTGGCACGCAAATCTGCCAAGGGTTCGCATGTTTCTAGGGGGAACCCCGGCTTGTCATTTCCTTCTTCTCTTCTCTTCTTTTCTCATTCGCACATCCCGGCTTACTGACCTTTTTCCGTTGGCGTGTTGCCCTGGTTTGTTCGTGCAGTTTTGCGTAGGGTTGGTTCGTTTGTAGGAGGAGCCTTGGTTGTATAATGCTTTTCCTTTGCTCTCCCACTCTCAGCGCGAGGAGAGGCAGGAGGAGGAGAGGGAGGAGGAGGAGGAGGAGGAGGAGGAGGAGGAGGAGAAACATGAGGAGTGAGAGAGGGGGAGGGGGGGAGGAGGAGGAGGAGGAGGAGGAGGAGGAGGAGGAGGAGGAGGAGGAGGAGGAGGAGCAGGAGGAGGAGGAGGCGGAGGAGGAGAAGGATGAAGAGGAGGAGGACGAATGGGAGAGACGAGCGAGCGAGCGCGCGGTGTCGGTCCGGCGGGGACCAGCCTTAGGAGGGCGGCGCGGGGAGGGCGGAACTCTCAGCATTCGGCCCGCGACTGGGACACCGGATGTTGGAGGCTGGGTGTCAAAGTGTTGATCTGGTGTAGTCTGGAGCCCGGTGGATCTGAAGGAGAACGGGTGTACAAAGCAATGGGGTTCCGAGGATGAGCGGGGTGACTGCGATGCGGAGGAAGGATGGTGACGATGATGACGATGACTACACGCCACGTCGCAGTTAGCTTGACACCGCGCTGGGCGGCCAGGCCCTTCAAACTGGAGGGGCACGTATGACGACCCCCCTCCCCGCCAAAGTTGAGAAGCGCACTGGGCTGGCGGGGATGCGCGAAGCGTCCAGAATTCCTCTTCTACGTTTGAGTCCCAGGAATGGTGTTCTGACACGATGCAGGATCGCCATCGCAACAGTGACTGTGATTCGTGGCGCTGGCATCCCAGGACGGTCGTCTTCCAACGGGGGGGTCTCCCCCCAGTGAAGATGGCCCCGTGTAGGGGCCTCTGAAAAGGAACCTTGCAGGGAAGGTGTGTTGCAATGTCCTTGATACGTCTTGGGTTTGCACTGGTTCTCCGCCTCCTCCTTTATACGTCTTGGGTTTGCAGCAGCAGCAGGAACACGAGGAGGAGCAGCGTTCCCTTCCCTTTCAATTCTGCCCCTCCTCCCCCCCGCATCCCTTTCCACTGTTTCGATTCTCTTCCTCTCTCCCCCCCCTCCCCCCCGCCACTCCTGCCCTCGCTTCCCCCCTCCCGCCCCTTCCCTGTCCCGCCACTCCG